CAACCTGTCTCTCCCAGCCTGACAGGTCAACCCAAACACCTGTCCTGTCGGGTATAGTTGCTTGAGGAGGCCCACCCTCCTATTAGAGAGGGCGTCTTCTCTTAATTAAGTCAGAAACTCCACAGACCCAGCTGCTCATTGCAGTAGAATCTGGGTGACGCTGAACTTTTCCAAGGACTCTGCCTTTTAGCTTCTTCATTGGCTGACGTAATTAAAACCATCGTTCTAATTACACACATTTTCCATTCCAGCTGCTTGAAGTTCCTTCCTTGGTAAATCGCTTAGCAATCATCTTTGACCACCAACTGCTCCCCAGGGAATGGCCTGCTGGGGTGGCCTGTACTTCTGTCATTTTACTGAGTCCCTACATATTAGGAAGAAGTCTTGCATCTCCAGTAATGGCATGATGAAGTGTATTTATCAACTCATGGGAGTGGAAAGTGGCAGTCTTCTCTTGTTTTATATATTAAGGCTGCTGGGGGACAAAGCTCTATTCATGATTTACCAGAATGTTTGATTTCACATTATTGTACAAGTAAAAGGAACAAAGTAAAAATTTATTGTTGTGACTTGTAGGGTTATTCTAGAACAAGGCTAAACTCTCACACTCACATAAGAATTCAAATGTCGACACTAACATAAGTGTATGAGCTTATGTGTGTGTGAATACATAATTTATGCTCGGCTCCACAATCAACGCTCTTGGCACCAGCAGTCAGGAAATCAAAAGATGAATTGTATTGGGAAAGTCTGCTGTCAGGGGCCTCTCCAGAGTGCTGAGGAGCAATGATGCCAGTCTAGAGACTGGGGTGCACCTGATTCAGGCGATGGTATTGGCACTTACATGTTATGCATAAGAGTGCTGGACACACACACAAAAAAAAAAGAGTGCTGGACAATGACTAAGGATGACAGAAGAAGAATTGATGCCTTTGAGTTGTGCTGCTGGAGAAGAGTCTTGAACACACCATGGACCACCAGGAGAACAAATAGGATCTGTCTTGGAGAGGGTGATATCAAGTTTCTCCTTGGAGACTAGGATTTTGAAGCTCTGTGTCACATACTTTGGGCATGTAGTAAGGAGGAATCAGTCCTTAAAGAAGGACATCATGCTTGGAAAGGTGGAAGGACAGCACAGGAAAGGAAGACCCTGGATGAGATGGATTGACATGATAACTGGGGTAATAGGATTAGGTGTGTCGGAGTCAGTGAGTCTGGCTTAGGATAGGGCAGGGTTCAGAGCTATTTTAAATAGGATCATTGTGAGTCGCAGGTGACTCGATGGCACATAACAACAACATCAACAATAACATAAAGTGTAAGTAAATATTTAAAGTATGCCATGATGTCAATTGCCTCAATGAACTGAACGTTTTCTTTTCCATGAGACTAGGGTCCATGAACTGGGCAATGCTCAGCTACCATCCATGAACATTTTAATCATAGATCTGAGACTCTAAAGGCTTTATAGATTCTAAAGAATCCTGAGAAAAAGGAAGAAGGTGCAGAAGAGAATTTTAAGTCCTCATTGACTCTAAACCTTCTGACACCATGGAGATCAGGTGAACCTCTGAAATTATGCCCCTGAGGTTGTCTTTAAACCCTAAACTAAAAATAGCCTCTGAAGTTTCCTTAAAATAAAATAATTGCTACACTTAACTGGTTAAAAATGTCTACCTTGAGTATCATTCTTTATAAAGAATTCGCTGTACTGGAATCAAAGGAACTCCGGTGTGTAATTTACTGAGCTAGTACCCCAAATGTCTGTGAATTGTAACCACTAGCTGCTTCAGGGGAGAAAGATGGAAGTCTCCTGCAAAGATTTACAGCCTCAGAAACCCAGTTGAGGATCACCATGAGTCAAAATGGATTTGTTGGTAGTAACTTTGGTCACATGGGATGAAAGTGACAACAGCAAGGTGAGAGATTAGATAGAAACCTTAGGAGCCAGTGTTTGTGTAGATGAGGGAGGTGGGGAAGTGTGGTTGCACAAGAGGAAGAAAGAAATTCATGTCATTGGACTGTTTATGAAGAATCTGTTGAATTGGTTTATGCTTTGCTGGATATAGTCCTGGCATCACAGGAGGTTATTGACCTATTAACCGGAAGCTTGGCAATTCAAACCCACCAGCTGCACTGCACTACCAGAGAAAGTTTTGGTGTGAAAACCTATTGGAGGGTCCCCATGGGTAGAAATACCATCAACAGCAGTGGCTTTAGTTTGCTGTGTATGTATTCTTAACAATAGCAAAACAATTTCTTTTTTTATTTCCCCACCCTTTTTGGGTGTAATTTTAATGAAAGTATATAGAAAAGTTGGATTTTCATTCATTCATTGTTTCACATGTTCCTCCCTACCCCCCCAGTTCACTTTAAAAAAAAATGTACTGTTGCACAATCCCCCCCCCCACCTCAGTCCACTTTGCAATGTACCTCTTATTCTGGACTGTTATCATACAAATAATCTGATCATATATTCCTTTAAAGCAGTTTTTTTCCTTTATCTATGCCAATGAAGTGTTCATTATCTATCCTTGCTTTTCCTAATTTCCCCCAATGCCCCATGTCAATCCTGTTTTAGAACAGTGGTGTCCTTTTGTGACTGAGATAGTTCACTCAGCAAAATGTCCTCCAGGGGCACCCATTTTGTGTAATGTTTAGTAGGAGTTCCTTGTTTTTCGGTGTTGTGTAGTATTCCATATGCCATAGTTTTTCTACCCATTTATTTGTTGATATGCCCTTGGCTTGCTTCCATGTCTTTGCTATTGTGAATAATGCAGCAATAAACATGGTACACTTTCTTTTTAAATGAAGTGAAAAAACTAGATGGAAATGATACCCTGCTTTTGGTATTGCTTTATTTCTTTCTTTGCTAGCTTAATGTTATCAAGAGCTGAAAAAAATAAGAAGCACATACGTGAAGACTAAAACGAATGTGTGCCTTTCAGTTCATCATCTTTTCAATCACTTGCCATGCATCTGAGAGCTGGACAATTGATAAGGATGAGAGAAGAAAATTTGATGCCTTTGAGTGGTGACGCTAGAGATGAGTACTAAATATCCTACGGACTTCTAAAAGAACAAACAGCTATGTTTTCGAGAAGGTGAAGCCAGAGTGCTCCTTGGAGGCAGAGATGACAAAAAGCTCCATCTCACATACTTCGGACATGTTGCTAAAAGATAGCCTTCCTTGGAAAGGGGTATCATGCTAGAAAAAGCAGAAGGTGAGTATAAGGTAGGGAGACCCTCAACTACACAGGGACTGCAGCAAAGGACTCAAGTATGACAGGGATGATGAAGAAGGCAGAACAGTGCAGGATTCAGATTTATTGTTCACAGGGTCGCTATGAGTTGCACTAAACTTGAGAGTTCAACAACAAGGTGCACTTAACCCTAACCATGGCATTTTCAATCCATTTTACGCATGTGAAAGCTGAACAATTGACTAGGAAGATTGATGTCTTCATTTACAGTGCTGGCAAAGCACGTTGTGTATACCATGGACTGCAAGAAAAAGAAATAAAGTACGCTCTGGTGGCCTAGTGGTTTGCACTGTTAACCCAAAGACAGTTGGTTAGAATCCATTCGCTGAACCTCAGTGAAAGACTGGCAACCTTCTCGTCGCACAATTTACAGCCTCTGAAAACCCGCTGGAGGATCAGCCATGAATTGGCTCTGACTCCAGGGCAATGAGGTCTCTAAGAGTAATAAAGTAACTGTCTTCCTTCAAAGTGAGAACGGCAAGACTTCTCTCAAATACTTTGACCGTATTAGGGGGGAACCAGTTCCTGAAGGACATTATGCTTGGTGAAGTAGGTCAATGAAAAAAAAAATATTAAGATCTTCATGTAGATGGACTGACTCAGTGATTGCAACAAAGGACTCGAACATGGCAAAGGCTGTGCGGTGGCCTCAAGGCTGCGCAGGATTAGACAACGTTTCCTTTTTTTGTATACAGGGTGTTTCCGTAAGTTGGAATCGACTCCGCCGCATCTAATACACACCACACTGCACACAAACCAAAAGAAGAAATCTTAGTCTGAACTTGTCTAATTCTTGGAGGCCCTGGGTCAGGTCCTGCCATCAGCTGGTGGCTGGGAAGGAAAAGCTACACAAAGAAAGGGGTCCTAAGCTGAAGGAGTAAGCAGTCTGACCCTTAGATCTTCGCGACTCGGCTTTACAGAGCTCTGCACAGGAGACGTGGATTTCAGATCCTGAACCCTGTTGAGGAGTCAGGCGGAAAGAGAGATCTAGATGCCTGAAAACTGCAGCGCTGCGCAGTCTAACAGGCAGGATGGGCGGGGCACTGAGCAGACTGGGTGGAGCCTCGAGCGGATAGGCCGGCTGACTGCGTGTGGATGGGCGTGACCTCTTGTTGGTGGGCGTGGTTTCCGGAAGGAAACACAAGCGTAGGGAGACGAGGATTGGTCTATATCTGGGTGATGGGCGTCGCCGGAATCGGGTCACGGAAGGCGACGCAAAGCAAGTCCTCTGAGTATGAGCCTTGCGGGCTCCGCCTGCGCTTGGTCCAGTGTCTACGTTCACGGCGTCTGAACGCAGGAAGGGCCGGGCATCCTTGGGCTGGCCTGGAGCGGTGCAGGGGCTGCACTGGTGTCTCATTTTCATTTCCTTCCTCTTTTTCTGTCTCGTCCCGAAAACGCACTGTGTACCCCGAACACGTGTAGGGTCCAGCGGATGCCGGGTACGCCTATATGGACGTGTCCCCCAAAGATGTTATCCGTCTCTAAGTTAGTGCGTGAGGGGCGGGAGAAACACTGCTGGGACAGGGAATGTCGGCGGGAGCCTTTCTGCTCACTCTCTTGGCAGGGTTGACCCCTCCCTGCACTCTGTGCCCACCTGGAACAACTTAGCACCCAGGTTAAACGTCTTACGTCCTGGTTTTCAATTGCTTATCTAGACCCTTAAGAGGAGTGATGCAGAACCTTTCAGGGCCCCCTGGAAGCCACAGGCCAGCTCTCGATGCAGTCTGAACCCCACCAGGAAGAGGAGCAGGAGACCCCTTCTCTCCTGTGGGGTTTGGATCCTGTGTTTCTAGCCTTTGCAAAACTTTACGTCAGAGATATCCTGGACCTGAAGGAGTCAAAGCAGGTGCCAGGTAGGTGCCTGGACGGATGCCTTGTGTTGCTTCTGCACACCACACGCACACATACACACTTCACCCCACCCCGTCCTTCCCAGCTTTTCTTGGAGCTGCAGAAAACTCGGCAGAGGGGCTTTGAGAAAAACCTTCTCAGCTGAGAGAATGAGCTAGCTTGAACTTTGTTGTTGGACCTTGTTATGTTCATTGCGGCTCATAGCGATTGCTTGTGATATAGTAGGACTAACCATAATGATACGAATTGGAATTACACATAACCTCTTTTACTGAAATAAATCACCAGCTCTTCAGGAAAGCCTCAGGCTGAGTTCAAACAACTCTTGTCACCAGGGGCTCCTTAGCGTGGACCCTAGAGTGAATCAGTTACTATGCAAATTAAAAACAAGTCATTGTTAGGTGGGAAACAGATGCCAGAGGGAGTGCCCTTTGAACTGAAGGAACGTTCTTACTTGAGACTGAGAAGTTTTTTATTTAAAAATGTTCTATTCTTTTTCTTTGAGTTAGCACATGGCGGGAAGATGGCTGGACTCACGCTCCAAACCCTGTCTCTTTGGTGGCCTGAGTTGTGGCTAATTTTTGGCAAAACTTGGGTTTCTTCTTTGTAAAATGAGAATTAACAATGACTCATTTTCTTAGAGGGTTTAGTTTTTAGTTAATCAGAAATAAATGATGTAGTTTTCTGAGAGGAAGGACATCAACTGGTTTTTTTAAGTTTTCTTTTTGTTCAATCATTGTTGCACATCCCGGTGCTCAGGCCTGCCATGGAATGGGTCCTTAAGAAATAATTGATATGCCAAAACATTTTAAACATAAGGGAGCTCTGGTAGCCTTAGTGAGTAAGGAGTTAGGCTGACCCAGAGGTAGGTGGTTTGAATCCACCAGATGCATCCAGGATAAAGATCCTGTGTGATTTACATCTGAAAACCTGTTGGAGGATTGGCTGTGAGTCAGTTCAGACTCAATGGCAATGAATAACAATGACAATAGCTTTTTAAATAGTTTACAAAACTGCATCTCCTCCTGGGTACTATGATATATAAAAAGTTCAAATAAACTGCTATAAGTGGCACTTTCCAGTCTAGGGTCTTTGAATGGCAAATTGTTAGTCAGAAGTAGGTAAGTGTAAAGAATCCAAGATTTAATGATGTGACTTTTTCACTTTGTCTTTCCAGTTCTGTGTACAAATAAAATTGCATGACCTTATGTCAACTGTTTTCAGCCATACTGATGCTATTAGCCATTCCTTTATCTCCTAATTATTGTTAGAAATGATCAGAGTTTTATTTTCTTGGAAGGCAGCCACCTTCTCCCACAGTTATCTGTTTTCCAGAACATTCTGGTTTTCTTCAGATCTCATCGCAGGAAGAAATTAATTTCCACAAAATGCCAGCCTTATGTAAAGATTGTCAGTGGGTACTCAGGGAAGTCAGTAGGGCCTGTTAGAAGATCTTAACACTTTCTTTGGGTGTAGGACCTTTAGATGTATTCAGAGAAACCAAGGACAACTAGTAGTTGTGATCTTTACTGTATCACTGGTGATAAAAAGTCTTGCTTGGGGGGAGTATGTGTGTGTGGTTTGTTGGTTGGTTTTTAAAAAAAATTTTCATTCATTCATTGTTGCACATTTTCCTCCCCACCACCGTTCACTTTTTTAAAAAAAATATTCATTGTTGTGTAATTTCCTTCCTTTCGCCCATACTCTTCCCACAGTCCACTTTGCTATGCCCCTCTTATTCTGGACTGTTGTCATACAAATAAAGTGTGTGTGTGTGTGTGTGTGTGTGTGTGTATATATATTCCTTTAAAAGAGTTCTTTCCTTCATCTATTCCAGTTTAGTGTTCATTATTTATCACCTCTTTTCCTCCAAACACCCATGTCAGTCCTGTTGTATATTAGTGGTATTAATGCAGTATTTGTCCTTTTGTGACCGAGATATTTCACTTAGCTTAATATCCTCCAGGGTCACCCATATTGTGTAATGTTTTAGGAGTTCCTCGTTTTTCAGTACTGCATAGTGTTCCATTGTGTGAATATACTGTAGTTTTTCTATCCATTCATTTGTTGAGCTGGCACTTGTGTTGCTTCTGTCTCTTTGCTATTGTGAATAACATTGTGGAATTGCTGGGTCAAATGGTGTTTCTATTCCCAACTTTTTGAGAAAGCATATTGTTGCTGTTTTTTAATGAAACTATTTGGTTTAAACAAACTGCAGCTATCTTTTTGCAGAGTGATCTTTAGATTAGACTGCAATGTTCTGAGCGTCCTTGGGAGGCACAGACACTTTGCACTCAGCTATTAGCCCAGAGCTTGGCATCATGAGCTCACCCAGAGTTACTCCAGAGGAAATACCAGTGATCGATCTACTTCCATAAAGATTATAGCCAGGCAAAGCCTGTGCATGTCATTCCTACTAATGGGGTTAGTATCTGCAACCTGGTAAAAGCCCCAGGTAAAAGGGAGGAGCACCAGAAGCCAGGAATCCTATCTCAGGCTGGTCCCCGAGTCAGAAAAGATCTCTGTATCTGTGGGTAAGGTCATCTCTTGCAGGTTCCTCCTTTACTGTTGACATGGCTGTCAACATTTGCCGTCTAGATATTTAAAACAGAGCCTTAAAAAGAGAAGCTTTTGAGTTGTAACCCACTGGCCCCAAAAGTAGTGTTTTGTAACTTACTCAACACTTCTTGTTTTAAAAATACCACTGCCAGTTCATAGGAATGATGACTGGTTTCTTAGAAATGCACTTTCAGAAAAAGTCAATGAAGTCTTTCCTGGGGCTTCTTTTCCCTTTCCTTTTTTTTTTTAGTCCCTCAAAGTATAATATAACATCTAGTCACACAGTGGTTGTTTTCAGGTCGCTTGTTCTAGAAAGCTCAAAAAACCTCATGGCCATCAAGTCAGAACCAACCCATAGCTGACCCTCTGTTGGGTTTCTGAGGCTATAAAATCACCAGGAGGAGATTGTCCATCTTTCGCCCATGGAGCTGCTGGTGGATTCGAACTGCCTGAGAAGCATAGCCTTTGCGTTAGCAGCACAACCCTCTATGGACTGAGCTACCTGAGCTCCTTCTTGTTCTGTGAGGAGCTACATTTAATTTTTACAAGTAGAAAGTAGAGTTAACCCAAATGTAGCTGGGAAAAACTGATTTTCTCTTTATTGCACTCACGTAAGCTGCTTAAGAGTGAAACTTGCTACTTATGATTCTTGTGGAACAAATCATCTAAATTTGGCAGGGGTTCCTTTTCATCAAGGGCTGATTCTTAAGTCTGGAATTTCAGTAAGCAACATGCCATTGACTTTTTTCACATCCACGTCCCCTCCCTCCCCACACACAATTAACATTTAATAAAGCAAATGGTGTTCTCTGACTTAGAACACATTCAAGTTACTTATAAAATAAGTGAATTTTTACCTTTATTCCCCCCCCATCCCAATTGCAGGTATATTTTTTTACAATGGGCATCCAATAAAACAGGTCGATGTCTTGGGCACTGTAATCGCGGTGAGAGAACGAGATGCTTTCTACAGTTATGGAGGTAAGAGCATTTACATCAGCAGTTTGGTTTATGCATAAGGACCTCACTTAACAGAAAGCGGAATGTTAAGCAGCTGCAGCCTCTGGGAGCAGCTGGGGGATTCTCACTAAACCCATGCAGTGGACTTTTCAGATATAAGGAATGAGATGCTATAAGGACTATAGTCTTGGCCCATGAACCACAGCAGATACTAGGCTTGGGACCTAAAGGGGCTTTAGTTAGCATCCTTTCTCATTATAAAATGATTGCAATGATGTGTGTGATTAATCCTCACCAAACATTTCCCTCAGAGTGGGTGTCTTCGAACAAGACACATCTGTGGGCTCTGAGAAAGTGAAAAGCAGCTGAATGTTCAATGAATTGAGTAGAAGTATTTTTAAGTTTTAACTCTTGGGTAGCCATGGAAATGGAGAGCTGCTTCTCTCTCTGAGGTTCTCAGACTCACCTTGACTCTTGGTGCTCTGCCTGGCTCACCACAAACCCCTGCTGACAAGGCTTCCTGCTCATGCTGTCTGACTCAGCCCACAGCTAGAAAAGAAAGACCCACGGCCCAGGTGGTTCTAGAAAGGATGTGATGCTGCCCAGCCTGAGAGGGTGCTGGGTAGCCTTGTAGGGCTGGACATCTCTGAGCCTCCCCACAGGCAGACTTCAGGTTCATGGCATGGGCTGTCCAAAGCAGAAGTCACAGGTGTCGGTGACCCTATGCCCAGGGTATGTAGAACACCTGACAGCAGCTCTGGTTCACACCTGGAATGCTGGGGGCTGTAGGCAAGACCACAGTGACCTCACTTTTTCTAGATCAATGTTCATTTCACCCTCCAATTATAAGTCTAGATTTTAAAATAGCCAGAGTAGTGGTATGCATAGAGGTGTCTTTCTTTAAAACTGAGAAAACATCTAATGATTTTTTTAATTGTGATTTTAATGAAAGTTAACAGAAAAGTTGGCTTTTCATTCATTCATTCATTCATTCTTGCACATTTTCCACCCAATCCTTCAGTTCAATTTCTTAAAAAATATTCATTGTTACATCATTTCCTCCTTTCCCACACTCTCACTCCACGTTGCTACGCACCTCTTAGTCTAGACTGTTGTCATACAAATAATACCTAACCATATATTCCTTTGAAACAGTTCTTTCTTTCATCTGCTTCAACACAGTGTTCATTATTTATCCCCACTTATCTTAGCTTTTCCCCAATCCCCACGTCAGTCCTATTTTATAACAGTGTCATTATGCAGCATTTGTCTCTAGTGATTTTTTTTAAAAGTATACTTAATTTATTATAAATTAAGATTGAAAACTAGAAACTATTCTAGTAAATTACATAAAGGTCATTTGTCATCATTACCGGATGCCTTCAAGTCTGTTCCAACTCCTATCAATGCTTTGTCTGGTCATGTAAAATACTGCCTTGGCCCATGTCATCCCACAGTCATTGGTGTGTTAGAGTCCATGGGTGTAACTGTCTCCAAGACTGGTCCCTCCTAATGACATGTCCAAAGTAACTGAGATGTAGTTGATCCACAGTACAAAATCCAGCCAAGTTTTACCTCCATGGATGCTGTTGAATTACTGTAAAAGGAGCAAGTGCAGCAGGGGATAGCCCTATCTGACCTCTACTAGCACCACAATGGGGAAGTATCTCCATCATTAGCATCCACAACACAGTACCAATTCCCATGATGCCCTACTCCCACACCTCTTTCTGCTAACTCCAACACCAATCTTACTGCTTTACTGGGTTCAAAATCCGTTGCAGTATCCCAAGAGCACACAGAACCATATTCACAATTACGGGGTATATTAGGCAAGTTAACAGGATACAGTTTTTCAGTCAGGACAGTTTCCAAAGTGTGCCTTCAGCCCTTCAGCTTCAATCTCATGGCTTCAGACCAGTGTTGCAAAGCTTTTAGTATTGCCAATTATGACTTCCCTGATTCCTCCAGCAAACTTGAGTGAAGGCTCCTGGTTCTGGTTCAGTGGGGTAACTACATGCGAAGGCAATAATATATGCTGTTATTTGTGCATTTTAGTTTTTGGAAGTAAAACGTCTAGGATTTATTTTGCTATAAAGACAGTTCTTGTCTCCTGCTTTAAACGTAGCTCTATTACCTCTATTATTCAACTGAGCAATCATGGTTTTTGCCTTGTTTCTTCAGTGTCTTAATTTCTTCTGTATTAGGTGTACTTTTCCAAATCTAGTCAATTTTTTAAAAATTATCAAGCCCACTGATCTCATGCTTAGCAATCCTACCCTGAGTTTATCAGAAATTACACAGAGAGAAAAATAGCTGCCTCACATAGCAAACATTTCCAAATTTCTCCCCAGGTCCCAAACCCAGTGCAGCAGTAATTGCTTGTTTCTTTGACCTGAGGAATAAGATAAGCCAAAGTGGTATTATTTTTATGGGGTGGATATAATAATTTCTGTCATGTCAAAGGAAAGTGCAGACCCAAAGGCTGGGAGTGCTATGTCTTGGTCAGTCAACCAGCTAGTGAGGGAGCGAATGGTGACAGACTGCTACAGAGCCAGTCCTTGTGCCTCTGACCACAGACCAGGTGACGCTGTCTTGTTCCCGGCCAGGAGAGAGAGGCTGACTTCACAGGTCAGCAGTCATTGAGATTGACCACACTATTTTTAGGAGGGCAGGATAGACAAGAATCATTAGTACCCTTGAGATGGTGTAAGTGAAATGTTGAAATCATGACATTGAGCTTGTAAGTCACCTTAACATGTGCAGACAATCAGTTTGCACTGGTGTGCGGTGAGAGATCGTTCCTGAAGGTGGAAGGAGGATTTGATCTGGATTTGACCCACCAGGCTATTGAAAACTGCTGTCTTTTAATATGACAAATGCAGTGACCATAGACAGATTGACCAGCAATGCCAAATCTGTTTTCTACTTTTTGATATTTTTCTTGCAGTAGATGATAGCACTGGAGTTATAAACTGTATCTGCTGGAAAAAGCTGGACAAGACAGAGTCTTCATCAGGTAATTAATTTCCTCATCAGGTAATTAATTTTATTTGCCATTCTACTTTATTGGGAAGCTTTCAGTAGACACTACTCAAGAGAACTGCGGGGCTAAAATGTGTGCATTATCCATTTGACCAAGAGCTTTGGTTTCTTCTCTGAAAACTGCCTCCATGATGGTGAAGCCGCTTGTTTTTTCTCCATCTCTGTGGAGCTTATTTTGTTCTGTGTCCATGGAGATGTAAGATACTGTCTTTGTTGTTGTTATGTTGTGTAATACTATCAAGTCAGAACGAACCCATAGCTGACCCACCAGCAAGTTTTCAGTCTATAAATTGCATGGGAAGATTGCTCATCTTTCTCCCACAGAGCAGCTGGTGGATTTGAACCCTGTGCCTTTGGGTTGTTTGGGCAACTCTTTACCACTAGGTCACCAGAGCTCCCTAAGTAGGATTCTGGGGGGAGGTGCTAATTACTAAGTGGTTCAAAATTGGGAAGGGTGTACGCCAGGGATGTGTCCTGTTTCCATACCTTTTTAACCTGTATGCAGAGCAGATTATCCAGGAGGCTGGGCTCTATGAGGAGAAGTGTGGCATCAGGCTTGGTGGAAGATCTATTAACAATCTGCATTATGCAGATGACACAGCCCTGATTGCTGAAACTGAGGAAGACCTCATGCACTTGCTGCGGAGGGTCAAGGACTGCAGCCTTCAGTATGGACTGAGGCTCAGTGTTAAGAAGATAAAGATTCTCGCCACTGGACCAATTGGTAGCATCAGGATGGATGGCGAAGAGATTGAGATTGTTCACAGCTTCAGTTTGCTCGGCTCCACGGTCAACACTCTTGACACCAGCAGTCAGGAAATAAAAAAGCATATTGCGATGGGAAAGTCTGCTGTTAGGCACCTCTCTAAAGTACTCAAGAGCAACAGTGTCTCTCTGGAGACTAAAGTGCGCCTGATACAGGCCATGGTCTTTGCAATCACTTTTTATGCATCAGAGAGTTGGACAATGACTAGGGAGGACAGAAGGAGAATTGATGCCTTTGAGCTGTGGTGCTGGAGAAGCGTATTGAATGTACCATGGACTGCCAAGAAAACAAACAGATTCATCCTGGAGAGGATTAAACCAAGCTACTCCTTGGAGGCAAGGATTCTGGGGCTTCATCTGACATACTTTGGGCATGTTGCAAGGAGGGACAAGTCCTTGGAGAGGGACATCATGCTTGGCAGGGTGGAGGGACAGCGCAGAAGGGAAAGACCCTCTATGAGATGGATTGATTCAGTGACTGGGGTAATTGGGATGGGTGTGTCAGAGGCAGTGCGATTGGCACAGTATAAAGCAGGGTTTAGGGCTGTTGTACATAGGTTTGCTATGAGTCAAAAACGACTCGACGGCACATAACAACAACAACAACAGTTATATAAACAAGATGATTTAGGCTAACCATCACTCAAGGCAGAACTCCCCTGAGCCTTCCAAAGAGGGTCTTGAAGACTTCTCTTTAGTGGATTTCCACTAACTTCTATACTGATATGAGCCACATTTTTTTAAAACATATCTAATGTGTTCAGACAAACATACCAGTTGTCCCTAAGCTTGATCAGACGTTAACTATTATTACATATAAACCAAAATGTGGGACAAGGATGGGCAATCTCTTCCCATACGATTCACTGCCTCTCAAAACCTGCTGGAGGGTCAGGTATGGGTTGGTTCCAACTCGATGGTACACAACATAAACCAACAAGGCACTTACAAATTGGGTATTGAAGACACTTAGTATAACTGAAACGGCATTTGGTTTAGTTGAATATATGTGTATTGATCATTCTTGAGTTCCTTTTCAAGACTCCCTGGTGTTTGCAATAGTGAAATGCATGGTGACTGCGACTGGAGATAGTGTAAGGTTGGGGGTTTGAACCCACCCAACAGCCTTGTGGGAGAAGGACTTGCTGATCTAAAGTGTCAAGATTAGAGCCAAACAAACTCTCTGAGCAGCTTCACTGCTCATGTATAGAGGGTTGCTGTGAAATGAAATGAACTCAAGGCTGTCACCCAGTAAGATTCCTTTTCAGGTTGCCTAAGATCATGATATTGAAGGAAATATGCAGGGTGACACTAGAGAAGCTCCCAAAACTAGGACCACTTTTTCCTGTGTCCTAGAACATACAGTATGGTGTCACGCATGGTGAGATTGTTCCATAAATGTAGTTGAGTATCTAATATCTAGTATCTGTCTCTTTGTGCTTGCTTGACTAGCGTTTGGAGTAATTTCTTCTTCCCTTTTTGCCATTGCCAAAGGAAATTGTCAGATCTCAACTTCCTCTTTTGACTATACAGATTAATGTAATCTTCATTTTCTTAACTTGCTCATTCATTAGGATTTGGCTATAGTTTTCGTGCAACTCTGATAGTCCCACATCTTAACTTGAGAACACTTCAGTTGTGGCCTAGGGGATAAAGAGTTGTGCTGCCTTCCAAAGGCAGACAGTTCGAATCCACCAACTGCTCTTTGGGAGCAGTCTCCTCCAATGAGGTTTACAGCCTCTGAAACCCAGTAGACAATCAGCTCTGGGTTGGTTCCACCTTGACAGCACATAACAACAGTAACAACAATTTGTATAGAAGACTTTGTAGCTAAAAAGAATTCAGAGTAGAGGAGGGGGCATGAAGAAAATACTCAACAAGAGGAAAATGATATGATTTTAAAAAGAATTAAAAGGACACCAGGTTTTTCTGCTGGTGTTTCATAGGTAAGACATAACCTATTAGATAATCAGAGATTGGGGCTTTCGAGATGCCTAAGTATTAAAATAATTTGCAGATTTATGGTTGCTATATTGTTACAGTTTTTAATCAGAAAATGTGCTTTGATTTTACTTACTTATTTCAACCTAGAGAGAGATCAGTAAATTTTATATATAATAGACCAGATAGTAAATATTTTCAGGGTTTGGGGGACATGTAATCTGTGTCTCAACTATTCAGCTCTGCCATTTAACACAAAAGCAGACATAGGCAATATGTAAACAAATAGAAATGCTGATGTTTCAATAAAACTTTACTTACCTGCGAGCTGAAAGATTAGATGATGTTTGTCTATCAGTAACAAGCCTTCTAATTAAAGCCACAACAGATGGGACCTGGTAGACACTGGGGACAGTGCAGAACTCAGATTCTTAAAAGTCCTGATTTGATAGACAATTGAGACTAGAGATGGTCCTGAATTTGTTTCCCTGAGATAGTCTTTAAATATTGAAGCAAAATTACCCCCAATGCCATCATTTCATGAAATACAGATTGGAACACAAATGATAAATATTATCCATGAATACCTCCCCTCTGCCATAGTCAGTTCTAACTTCTGGTGACCCTCTATGACAGAAATGCCCCATAGTTTCCAACGTTTTAAATCTTTTTTCCCCTCACCCACCCCATAAATCTTGATGATAGTAGACTGCTTCATCTTTTCTCCCATAAAGCTGCTGGTGGGTACCAACCTTTTGTTTAGTAGCCCAACACTTGACCAACTCCTTTCTGTAAGGCTGATACCTGTTAAAAAAGCCATCAAAAAAGACAAACAAAAATATATGAGGACAAAATGTCAGTAGTTACTCTAAAGCAAAAGATGAGAAGGGGTAGGGCAACTGGAAGACTGAAAATAGAACAACCAGAATATAATTAAAGACAGTGTGATACATTGGGGAAAATATAACATCACTGAAAATGTATCTAGAAGTTGTCAAGTGATAACCAAATCTGCTGTGTAAATTTTTACTGCTGTGTGCTGTGGAGCTGAAACCAACTCATAGCTGACCCTCCAGTAAGTTTTCAGAAGCAGTAAATGGCCAAGGAGGAGAATGCCCATATTTCTCCCATGGAACAGCCAGTGGATTAGAAACATAGACCTTTAGGATTGCAGCACAGCTTCTTACCACTAGGCCAACAGAACGCCCTAAATTTTTACTGTTGTTGTGTACCGTCGAGTCAGAACCAATCCATAGCTGATCCTCTGTTGGGTTTTCAGAGGCAGTTAATCACACGGGAGGAGAGTGCCCATCTTTTGCCTGAAAATTTTTACTAGCAAAAAAATTTTAAAAATTATTTACAAAATAATCAAGCCATAGCATAGTTTAGCCTGTGAACTGTAGTTTACAGACCCTGTTTCAGTTATTGTGTTTTTCAGAATTAACACACTCTAAAAGAAATATCACCATAAAATATTATAAAGTTCATATACTTAGTAATTTCTTAGACAAAAGAACTTTTGTAGTAATGAGAGTGAGATTTTTAAAATATCATCAAGTAAATGCATAGATGAACAGTCCCAATGGGAGTAACTAATTGAAAATCACTTAGAGAATTTACATAGAGGAGAAAGCCTAAAAACTATTCTCATGTTATCTATGAAGTTAGGTTTTAAATTGTTCCCAAATAGCCCATTCTCTCCTTTTAATTTAATTGTGCTCATTTAAAAGCTTTCTGTTGAAAAGCGGTCAATGAAGACTAATTTTTAAAATAAAATTTAGTCAGAGTGAAAATCGTGTTCCAGTCAGTTGAAGTACATGAATATAGCATTAACTCCTAAATGTTGTGTTAAATTTGGACTCAGCTTTAAGAGTAAATGTAGGAAAGCTTGACTCTTAATATTAGAATTTTAGAGGTTTATCTGTCGGGTGGAATAGCTGCTTAGAAGGAAAGCAGGTCCATCAGGCCCTAACCATCTCATTATAGGATGTGGCGTGAGCCCTTTTTCAGCAATGTGGCTTACCCTTGAAAGGAAAGCTGGGCTTTATTTTTCCTCAGACTAGACTTTGATAATGCAGTGGGGCTATATTAAAGCCACACACATGCAGTAATTCTGTTACAGATTCCCTAGGTAACTCGGACACGTAATAATGTCATGGTTTCATTTGGTATTACATGACAAGAGACAGTGCAGTTGGCACAGGACAGAGCAGAGTTTAGGGCTGTTGTACATAAGGTCGCTATGAGTCGCAAGCGACTCGATGGCACATAACAACAACAACAACACATTATTGAGAATATCCACAGTAGAACATGCACCAGCTCAATAGTGTTTACATGTACAATTCATTGACACTGACAGCATTAATAATAGCAGAAACGGTGTATGGGGCAAAGGAAGTATGAGAATTCCAACTACATTAGATTTTACAAGATTGCTCAGTAGACCAAAGAAATATTCACTCTCTTGTAGAAACTCTACATGTGACAAACTAGAAATACTGCAACAACCATTCCCTAGGTGATGCAAACGATGGAAGTTTGTTGCTGCTAACTGAAAGACTGATAGATGAAGTCCACCCAATGCTACGTTGGGACAAAAATCTGACAATCTATTTGAAAAATAACCAGTCGTCGAAGCTCTTCTGCCCTAACACACACGGGTTGTCAGGAGCTAGACTTAACTACACCACAGCCGGTGGTGGGAGTGGGATGTGAGAAATTAGAAATAATACAACCGTAGAAAAGAAATCAGCAGTTAGCATATGTTGCTCGGCGGCAGAGATGACAGTATTTTTTTAAACAAGAATGAACCTAAAAAAAAAAAAGTAAGAAAGAATGAACCTAAAGAAGATAGAATTGATACAGGGTTTAATATGTTAAGCTCCCTTAAATCCTTAGTTGTTTAAGTGAAGACAGCTATCAAGAGACACAAGACTTTTTCCAAAAGATTTTTCCAAATTTTCTGTGCAAGAAAATGAACTCAGTCATTTAAAAAAAAAGAAGAAGTCAATTGATGGAATGCAGGTAATAAGGATAACAGGTATGGCTTTCCTAAAACTTTTAAGAAATTAACAGTGTTGAAAAAAAATGAACAGGTTATACATGGAAAAAATACACGGTGTATCATTTTATTTAAAAACACATAGAGTATCTTGTCATGTAATACCAAGTGAAACCTTGACATTATTACGTGTCCGAGTTACCTAGGGCATCTGTAACAGAATTACTGCATGTGTATGGCTTTAAAGAACAGACATTTTTCACACAGATCTGCGGCTTAAAGACCAAATTAGGCTCCCAGCCAAGTCGCTTTCTTCCTTGGTTCCTTGGCAGTGCTCACCTGGCAGGTGTTGGCAGTAGGGTGTACTGCAGAGTCAACTGACCCACAGCTGACCCTCTGGCAAATTTTCAGAGGCAGCTAATCTCACAGGGAAGAGATTATCCATCCTTCTCCCATGGAGCAGCTGGTGGCCTCCAACCACATGCCTTTGGGATTGCAGCACAGCTTCTTGCCACTAGGCCACCAGAGCTCCCTAGCATGTGTTGCCACCTGTGTACTTGGATCTCTGGATCTGTGACTCAGAAGTGATGAGTTGGAGGCTTCACCCTGCATTGGTATGACTTCCACTGACTGATAGATTAATTGATTACATTATATTGCACTGAGGAAGGTGATTTCATTATCTTACATCCACAAGTGTAGAGATCAAGATTGCAAGACAGAAAAAGAATTGATGCCTTTGAGCTGTGGTGCTGGAGAAGAGCACTGAACATCCCATGGTCCATCAAGAGAAAAACAGATAGATATGTCTTGGAGAGGGTGCAGCCAGAATACTCACTGGACACAGGAATGATGAGGCTTTGCCTCACAAGCTTGGAGCATGTTGCTAAGAGGGGCTGCTCCTTGGAGAAGGACATGATGTTGGGAAGGGTGGAGGGTCAGCAAAAGAGACCCTCAACCAGGTGGATTGACACAGTGACTGCTGCAGTGGACTCTTGTATGTCAGGAAGTATGAGGTGCTGCAGGACAGAACAGGTTCAGATCTTTTGTTCATAGGGTCACTATGAGTCACACTTGACTCGATGGCACCTAACAACAACAACAACAACCTAATAAACTATTGAAAATCCACATGACAGAAGCCAGTGTAGGAGCCATCAGTGTGCATGTGTTGCTGGTGCCACCATGGAAGAGTGGTTTGGTTCTTTCTGGAAGCCATTCTGGTGATCCATGTTGTTAGATACCATCGAGTTGGCCCAACTTCTGCCACCTTCCTACAACAGAAGGAAGCACTGCTTGATTCCGCACCCATCTGGAGCCGTGCCTGAGCCCATGGTTGCAGCCACTGTGTGTGTCTCATTGTGGGTCTTCCTCTGTTTCACTGCTCCTCCGCTTCGCCCAGAATGGTGCCCTTTTCCTGACCTGGTCCCTCCCAATAACATATCCAGGACGAGTGAGACAAAGCTTATCATTCTCACATCTAAGCAGTGTTCTGGCTGGAAATTCCTTTCTGCCCTTTCATCCAACATTATGTTGGTTTTACTAGAAAACTCCCTCACAAATGTTGCATGCACATTGTGTTCATATTTTCTCTCTTTCCAGCTCAAACAGCTGCTGCTGCTGCTCCAAGCTCAGCAAGAGATGTGGGCTTAACTTCACAGCTTAAGAAGTTGCAAGAAGCCATTAAGCAGAGAACAAAAATAGAAATTGGTGACATTGTCCGAATCAGAGGCTATGTCCGCATGTACAGAGAAGAGCGAGAAATTCATGCAACCACATATTGTGAGCATAGAATATTTCTGCCAGTTGGTTGTTAATTCTGTGTGTGTATCCACTAAACTCTTGTGTAGCCAAAATTAAACTTTCTAGAAGGTCAAATGAGAATATATAACTAATGCCGGAAATTACATTACATAATTTACTATGTTGCATAGCATACTTTGTTTAGAAATGTAGCATTCTTAATAGTATTTTGAAGATAAATCTCTAAATTAGGAAATATAGTGAAGGCCTTACTGTATACAATGTCTCATTTTATTTTGGATAACCTAGTAGAGTTTCTAAAGGTTTTAAATTAGTTTGGAACCCTAGAATGTGAGGTTCCACCTTTCTATCCATGAAGACAAAATGGTCTCATTCTTTCAGATTGTGGGGGTTTCTTGACTATTATTGGATCCCTTCACTTTAAACGGAACTGCTAATCAGAACTAGTTGAGTAGCGTCCTTAGCACTGTTGTGGCTGGTTTTCAATTAGCAATCTCAAGGAAGGGTCCTGATAGCCACTAGAGTAACAGATGCGTTAGTAAGGTAATGTGCTTTCCCCAGTCCTAAGCCGCTCTCTGGCAAAGCCTTTGCCGCTTAGGGAATCCAGTTCTGTCTCACAGGATAATTGGGAACCACTTAGTGCTTTGAGACTGTAATGATTTTTTTGGCCTCTGCATGGAAGAGATCCATTGAGCTTCTTAGCAGCAATTTGGGCATAGAAAGTAATTATTTTAGTGTCATTTCTGTGGCATCTTTCCCCCCTGACTTGTTAGACAAAGTGGATGATCCTGTGTGGAGCATTCAGATTTCAAGGATGCTTGAGCTGCCTGCTATCTACAGAAAAGTTTATGACCAGCCTTTCCGTAGCCTGGCCCTAGAGAAAGAAGCAGCAGTAAGGTAAGTTGGGACTTCTCACTGCGAAAAATGTGGCCACAGCCGTGAAGCCAAATGATAGGAGCCCAGATGCTGTGGGGTTGGCCAGGGCTCAACCCCTGCGTTATGTGTGTATCCACTTTTCTTATATGTAAATGGCAATAATAATAGTACAGAGTTTGTAGGATTATTGTGTGACAATTGTTGTTGTGTGTTGTAGAGCCAGAACTGACTTACAGCTGACCCTTTGGCGGGTTTTTAGAGATGGCCTGTCCTCTCCTGCAGAGCAGCTGGTGGATTCGAACCACATGCCTTCAGGATTGCAGTGCTGCTTTTTGCCACGAGGCTACCACAGCTCCCTGCGTGAAAATTAGTTATATATGTATAATTGTAATCCCTAAAGAAGTGAGAGTACAGAAAAAAATATTTGAAAAAATAAATAATGGCTGAGATTTTTTCCAAATTTTGCAAAAATGTTAAAATGCCAAAATCCAAGGAGTTTAATAAAACCTGAAGAAACAAAAAGAAAACAATACCAAGGCACATTAATAATAACTGAAACTACCTCAGAGGTCCCCAGCCAGGGGTGATTTTGCCCTGTCAGGGGACATGTCATAATGTCTGGATTGGTTTGATTTGGTTGTTTAAAACTGTTTTGGAGAAAAGCTACAGACGAAAGGTCAATAATGTTGTTAAATATTCAGTAACTCACAGGGCAGCCTCCACAATGAAGGATGATCCGTTTTGATACTTCAAATAGTGCTGAAGTTGAGAAACACTAATAAACTGCCATTATCAAACCACTTTAAAACCACTGCTAAGGAAAATCTTAAGATCATCTTCTTGACATGTATTCTTTATTCTTGACAAAATAGAAAATGAAAGACACAGGGATATGTGACTTTTTGTAACTAACTGACCATATTGCAAACTAGGCGGGGTGGGGCACCTAGAAGTAAATGCCTCTAGGCCTTCAGAGCTGTTTAGAGCAGATTTCAGAACATAAGGATGGTTGCTCACATCCTTGTGAAAAGCCCTGTAACCTGTAGTGTGGAGTTAATGATGTGATGTGTTTTCACTGTTAGACTGTACCACACAGACCAACTGGTTCTGACTCTTGGTGACCCGGTCTGTGTTCGAGTGGACCTGTGTTCCATAAGGTTTTCAATGGCTGATTTTTCAGAAGTAGAATGCCAAGCTGCTCTTCTGAGGTGACTCTAGGTAGACTTGAACTTGCAATGTTTGTGTTACCTCCAAGCATACGGTTCACATCATACAGGAACTCCCATGATAATTAGTGCATGTTGAATTACAAGTTTGTGTTTTTGGAGCCCTAGGCAGCACTGTGAAACAATACATGTAGAATTCCGTAAGGACTGCATAACAGGGATGCAAGTAGAGGATGTCATGGTGAGTCAGATAAGTCAATCACAAGAAGACAAATAGTGTATGAAATCACTGTTTTAAAAAAATAAACACACACAGCATCATTGCATTTTTACCAGGTATGGGCTGGGAGAAGGGAATAAAATTAGTGAATAGATTACAGACGGGTGTGGGAGGGGAATACAAATTAGTAAATAGATGATAGGTACATAAGATGAGAGACACAAAAAGCAGTGTACAGTTGGGGGTGATGGATGCCATCACTGAAGAAAGACACAGTGAGCGAGGTACAGAGAGGTTGGTGGGCATCAGTTACAGGGGGAGTGTGATTATGTTGCGTGTGTTGAAATTTATGGCATTTAACAAAATGTGTATAAATGGTTGAAAGAAAATGAACTTGTTTTGTAAACCTTCATTTAAATCACAGTTTATAAAATTGTGCATGCATACGTATCATAAAAGTTTAAATATAAAGGAGTTCTGGTGGCCTAGTGGCAAGAAGCTGCACTGCAATCCCAGAGGCCCGTGGTTCGAATCCACCTGATGCTCTGCTGGAGAAGGAGGGGCAATCTCCTCCTGTACCATTCACATCCAGTTTGGCAGTACACACACACAAAAATAATAAAATTTTAAAAAATTTATTTAAAAAGTTTAAATATGCTATTATAAAAGACAAAGGCATAAGATTGTATATCAAATACTCTCTCTGTTGGGGGGGAGGAAAGTGCAACAATGAAAGAATGGAATTCCAAAATCTCTGTAGATGTTCATTGAAATTAATAAAAAAAAATAAATAAAAAACCAAACCAAAACAAAAAAACCTTACTATGCTGTCATATTAAAATATTTGCTAAAACAACTGTTGTTGACCTAAAAAAAAAAAAACCACCAAAAAAATGCTCTCTGTAGTAAGAAACTAACCCAAGAGAAAGAAGAATTTGGTAAGAAAGCTGAGTTGCAATCCCGAAGGCACACAGTTCGAATCCACCAGCTGCTCCTCAGTAGAAGGACGGTCTCTTCCCATTAACTGCCTCAGCCTGATGGTATAAAACACCAGTATATACATAAGAGCTCTAGTGACCTAGTGGTAAGGAGTCGTGCTGCCAACCCAAGGGTAAGTGGTTCAAGTCCACCAGCTGCTCCACAGGAGAAAGATGGGCAGTCTCTTCCCATGTGATTCTGAAAACTCGCTGGAGGATCAGCTGTGAGTTGGTTTTGACTCGGTGACACACAGCAGGAATATGTACATGAAGGAGCTCTGGTGGCCTAGTGTTAAGGAGCCACATTACTCAAAGGCACATAACAATAACAACAACAATATATGCATAAAGGAACTCTGGGAGGAGATAGAATCAATAGCAGATGGGTAGGATGGAGATTTTCATAATGTGCTCTTTAATTTTTTAGCATATTACATTTTAAAAAATTCAAGCTGTAGACTTTACAAGTTAAAGTTAGAAGTGAAACATGCTGGGGGTTTTTTATGAGAGATTACCATAGTTGATAACTTCAAAATTTATTTTCCTTTTTTTTTTCTCCTGTGTAGACATATCTATCCACCCAACTAGTGTATAGATGGATTGTGATTTACTTTTTACAAAAGTGAGACCTTACCCTGCATGCTTTTCTGCAGCTTACTTTTTTTTAAAAAAAAAATTTTATTTTATTATTGTGTGTGTGTATCGTCAAATCAGATCTGACTGGTACAGGAGGAGATTGTTCCTCCTTCTCCAGCAGAGAATCCAGTGGATTTGAACCGCGCACCTCTGGGATTGCAGTACACCTTCTTGCCACTAGGCCACCAGAGCTCACCTGCAGCTTGCTTATTTTCCTCTCTTCATTTATTATGAATTTCTTTGTTAGCTCGCTTAGTTTGGCTTCATTCTTTTAAGCAACCACACAATGTTTACTGTATGACTTAGACTTTGTCTAAAATCAAGCAGGACTTTTAGTGTTGTGTTCTAGCTAAATTTCAACTTGATGCACATCAGCAAGGAAAGAAGGTGGTTTTCTGCAAGGATTTTAAAAACCTTTCCTCTTCACAGCAACCCAGGCACCCTGGACCTTGCCAGCCTCATACATTTGCTGAGTGAAAAAGCCAAAGAATTCCTCATGGAGAACAGAGTGAAAACCTTTTACCAGCGGGAGTTGGAAATGGTGGAGTCTTTGATAACCCTAGCCAACCAGCCTGTGATTCACAGTGCCTCCTCTGACCTGGTAAGTGTGTCATGCCCACATGACACTGTGAATCCTCTCCAGATGTGGCTAATGGGCGTGGTCGATGTGACCATCGAGGTGAATGTTCACAGGAGAGGACCCAGGGGTCAGGGCTTGTGGTTCTGCCACATGTCACAAGCTGTTCTGTTCTGGAAAGGTCACTGAACAGCAAGAATGTGAAATGAGAATGCACCCACCTTTTCCTTCTCTTGACTGAAATTAACCTCATTGGCTTAATCTTTGGGTGGGAAAGAATGTAATAGCCTAAGATTCTTAGTACTTAGTTCTAAGGATTCATTGAGATGCATATTTAATCTCAGCAGGTACTAAATGAGGGGAAAGTAGACAGGAAGATGTAATTATCATTCTGAAATTATTAATCAAGCTCTTAAACTTGAACCTGAATTAAGATTTTGTAAATGACTTGCTTTCTCTTCTTAGAATAAAGGTTAATCTGTGGTGATTTAGTTAGCATAAAGACTCAGTTGTAGTTAGTAAGTAAAAACTTCAAGAAAATATTTCAAATACAGCAGTTTCTGGATTGCAAATAAATGCTGTTTCTAGGTCCTATTAGGCACAGTTCACAACTAACTATCAGCTATTTGTCTTAGTATATACTATAATATAGAGGTTATCTTTTTAGGCATGTTGTTGTTGTTGTTGTTGTTGTTAGGTGTTGTCGAGTCATAGACGACTCATAGCTGACTCATAGCAACCCTATGAACGAAAGATCTGAACGCTTGTATAACTTTGATCGTTTCTCCGAGTCCATAGTGTTTCCAGAGGCAACTTTTTTTGGAATAGTAAACATTAAACACTTCCCGATACCTAAAAGTGTTTAACATAATCATAATAAAACAGTAATAATAATGTTTTGGAGAACTTCACAAAATAGTGCCCGTTTGTTATGATAAGCCTTTATCTATACCTCAGATTTTTCATATAATTGGCTCTGCACTGCTTGGTTCATGGATACAGGTTCTCTGTCAGCCCAATGTTTGTAACCTGAGGGTTGCCCATCAGTTTTTCAGTTGTTCTTGTTTTTCATTAGTGTTATAGGTTAACTTTAATTTTATGTTGGTTGGTTTGTTTGTTTTCTCAATTTGCTTGCTCATACACATTTGAGACTTTGGATTTAGGCTTTCCCTTTCAGGGCCATTTTGTAAGGTCTTTTGTTATTGAAACACAACTCATTCATTCATTTGTTCCTTTATTCCACCAGGAATAATCATCTTTCTTTCCCCCTGACATCCATTCCTTTGGCCACTTGCTCCTTCAATATTTCCTGTCTCATGATATCAGTAGCATTTGTTTCTTGACCTGCCTCTTCCTCCACTGGAATCTACACTCTGTAAGATAAGAGGATACTACTTCCTTTTCTTTTAAACACAAGTAAGAGCATGCTAAACACTAAGCTTTGCTTAGCTATGCAGTGATCAGTGTATCTTATAGGCCCATTCGTAACAGTCCATGTAGATTCATTGCTATTTAATAATCTTTTTTCCCCATAACTAGTTTAACCAGTGTCGCTTTGTTGGACTGTTTGGTTTTTGGGGTTGTTTTCTTCCAGTCTTTTGCAGTTGCCAAGAGGGCTTCTGTGTCAACTCTCATCTCATAACAGAAATTATTGTTCATCATCCTGGTGGAACAGATATTGAATCACCATTCTAACCTCCCAGGTTCCATGCCTGCTTCTCAGTTGTGTGAGCACACCTAATTACCTCTTCCTGGCAACAGGCCGTGTGCTCGGTGACCCACAGTTTCATACACGGAGATGAGGGATAGCATTTCAGGAAACACCCGCGAAGAGGGTCACGACTGGGCGCTTGCTTCTCTCCCAGGTTTTGCTTCTGAACAGTTGCAGCCCTCCAGCTGTCTGTTGACAGCAAGATTGACCCCTCTCCACATTTAATCATTTAGAAGAGGCTCACTGCCAAGTTGGCCTCCCAGGGCTCTTGATGACCCCACTGGCATGCTTGGAAGGAAACGAAAGCTTAGTGAAGACAATATCCTTCCCAGGAAGCCAGCTCTTTCTTCAATGATAGCTGTAATTAAGTGGAGACTTAGCATTCTTTGAAGACTAAAAGGCTCTTCCAATTCAGAATGATCCTTGGGCAAGTTTTGGCATGATGCCTTTTAAAAAAACTGTTTGGAGCCATAACTGTGTTTAGAAAGAAATTAATTTGGAGCCATCTTTGTTTTGTCTTGGAAAAACCTCTTCTCAATCAATTATGAATCATTCCCTTATATTGTTCTGGTTGGAGAGGTCACTGCCGTGAAATTAAATTCTCTTTAATGAAGCCCGGGAAGAATAAAGCTGCCTTACAGTAGCATCGAAACTCTAGATCCTTTGGCATTTTCTGTGTGTACAGATGAGACAGCATAACAAGAAATGATGATGGTGAAGTAGTTTAAAGGCCAAGGAGAATGAGCTTGGATGTTAGACTTCTATCCAGGCCTCTGCCCCGCCCCCAATCATGGCCTTCCTTAAAAATTCAGAAACATGATAAGCAGAACTTGCAAAGCCATTGTCTCTGTGACAGCTGAATGGATGTCACGTTTGTTTGGGAATGAAGACTATATATACTTCAGAGATCCACCCAGTTCCCGACCTAATGTGGAAGAGGCTTGGTCAGGCTTAGCAGGTTCAGCCTGTAGCTGCTTTTACCTGGGGGCAATGTCAGTTTTCTGAGTCAGAAGAATCTGTCATTGATTGCCCTGTTTTAAAAAAAAGACAATAAGGACACATTTTAGTCTACAAAAGCTACTGCTTAGGAGAGAAGATTGGAAGCTTTGCCCTTGAGACTGGCAGTTTTTATAACCAAGCAAAGGAAATATCTCCAAGGGCAGCTGAGGCAAATGTTTTTGGGACGGAAGTTTCGCATACTGTTTATATTTACAGAGCCATTTCTGTCAAGCCCTCCCCTTTCATGGCTCAAATTGGGCTTTTCATGCCCTTGGCCTTGATGATGATTCTTGCTGCTTCATCTTTTTGTAATCCTAAAGGAGAGACCAGGTTTTCTGTGTGAGCTGAGAACTGGGGCTCATTGCTGGGGCAGTGGTAGAATTTTCACCTTCCATGCAGGAGACCACGGTTTAGTTCCTGGCCAGTGTGCTTCACCCATGGTTACTATCTGTCTGTCAGTGGAGATTCGTTAGTTGCTGTGACACTAAGCAGATTTCAGGAAAGCTTTCAGGTGGAGATAAACTAGGAAGAAAGCCCTAATGATCTATTTCTGAAACTCAGGCAATGAAAATGGCAGGGATCAGAGTGATGTGCTCTGCAGGTGGTCATGGGAATGAAGCGGCACAGGGCAGCATTCAGTTGTGGCGGGCACAGGCTTACCATGCATCAGGGGCCACTTTCCAGCAGTGATTCCATGACAACCACTGCTAACTAGTTTCCAAGACTTCTGTCAATGAGAGAGAGAAAAAACCCACTCAATCCTTAGGATTCTAATGTTAAATGGAATGAAGATGGCAAAACTTGGCATGAGGAAAATCAAGTAGTCGTTCTAAAGGTTGGTTAAGGAGCCTGCACCCAATTTCTTTAAGTAAGAACACTCATGTAAAATGAAAAATAACTTTGCCATAAGCCCTCTTGAATTCAAAAGTGTGAGGATGAGGATACTAGGAAAGGTGTTTATTCTAAACACACCCACATTCTCTTCCTGCCCGTGGGAGTCGTCAACTATTTCTCAGCCTTTCTCTCCCTACCATAACCTGGAATGTTTGCCAGCTTTTAGGTCCTACTGTTATAACAGTCAGGTTCTCTAGCTTTTCTATAAAGGAAAAGCATAGACAGTTTTATTAAGAATATTGGGTTTTCATCTTCAGCCCAGGAAGCCTGCTTGTGTTGTACATTGTCACCAGGATGGACTAGATTGGTAAAATGCCCCTTTGGAGATTTCTTAAAAAAAAAAACAAAAAAAACCCAACTAAGTTTTTGGGAATAGAACTGTCAACACCTGAGACCATTGATCGAATTCTTACCTCACCCTAGCCCTTTGAGGAAATGTCATCAGCACATCTCACCCACCCTCTTTTTCAACATCTATTGGTACTTCCTCAAACAGAGAGCCTTTTAATAAAAGAAATTTTTTAAATTGATTGTGTATCTGTTTATGGCATCTAGGACTTTGCTTTCAAACACTCTGCAGCATATCTTTGGAGCTCCATTCTTTCATATTTTTTAATACTAGTTTATTTACAAAATTCAACTACATTGTTTTTGACAGCAGATTCTTCCAATTTCCCTCACCTCCCAACCCATCAAATTGTACAGCTCCATGATTAATTCTTCCCCCTGCACACCCTCATCCCTCTGCTACCACTTTCCCCCACCCCCCCTGGATCCATCTACTCATTCTACAATAATGGTTTTACACAGTATTTGTTCTTGTGGGACTGAGTTAGTCCATTCAGCATAATGCTCTCCAATCCCTCCTCCCAAGTTAGGTAATAATTTACAAATTACATGGAGCTCCATTCTTGATGACTTCTTGAGAAATTTCAAATTATAAATTGATGTTCATCTCCAGGGACAAGTGTTTCGCCACCATTTTCTTAGTGTTGTGAATAAATTCCCTGTGGAATATCAAGAAGCCTGCAGCATTTCTAGTAGGGTCTTTCTCTTCATTCATTTCATTAATGTTGAGGATAAGAAATAGGTTGACCTGGTACCTCTTTGAGCAAGCCTGGCTCTTAGAATAAAGAAGAAGCATGGAAACAAATTGCAGCCGAGGCACCTTCTACTTTCCTTTACTACTGTTCTTTGCTTCACTCCAGGACTTATTTCCACTGTCAGCCTGAGAGGCCCCGCTTAGACACGTTCCTTAACAGCCGTTTGCCTCAATCATTGTCCATTTGACACTGATTGCCCTCTTGACTCCCAGATTATTTCAATGTGTAGAAAATGCCGTGAAGTCTGGGGTGAGATTAGAGATAGCCACAATTTCTATGAAGGAAGGAGGTGATGTGTCCACAGTGTTGTTCTTGGCTACCCTGGAGCTGGTCTCCCACTTGTCACACCAGAACAGTGCACAACAGAACAAGCACTGCCCAGAGCTGCCGCGTTTGCCGGATCGGTTGTGGATTGAGTCGTGATCCATAAAACCTTCCCTGATCAGCTTTCAGGAGAAGATCTTCAGACTCTTCTTCCTGCTCCACCTCAGTCTGGAAGCTCTGCTGAAGCCTCGTTAGCATCACAGCAACACAGAAGCCTGGACGGACAGGCCCTGGAGTTCATTGACTGGGACTCAAACCAGCTCTTCCTAATGGCAGGCTCCAGTCCTTCCACTGAATGATCAGTGTTCTGGGTCTGTTCAAAACAAAATCAAAGATCATACACCAGTGAGGGTAGCTTTCTGGCTTTATACACCATAGGATGAAACAAGAAAGTTCTGGCTGTGTTGTGAAACAGTTTCCAAGTGTGATACAGCTGGAGCAAACTTCTGTCCTTAAATCCCAGCCTTGCAAGGCCTGAGCAAACCAGGATCTTTTTGACTCAGCAGAAGAAAAAGCTCATCGGGCAAATTCCTTACCCACTTGGCCTAGGGAGTTGCTCTCCAGTTCTGGGAAGTGGGACTAACAGCATTACTCCTCCCCCCCACCCCTTTCTCTCTCCCAACAGGTGGGATTTAAGAATGAGACGACGTCCAAGGCAATTCATAGTATATTTAAAAATGCTTTACAGCTGCTCCAGGAAAAAGGACTTGTTTTCCAGAAAGAAGATGGTTTTGACAATCTATACTATGTAAGATATCTTTGCTTTTTTTTCCCTTTATTTTTCATAGCTCCAGTTGTAAGTCTATTCTTTAAAAACATCTATTTTTTAAAAAAAACCAATGAATCCTTATGAAAGTATATAAAGTTAAAAGTAGAAGCTACCTTTATCTCTCCTAAACGCACTTTTAGGGATGCATCCTTCTACACATTTATGTGCACATTTCTAAATGCACATTACAAATATACACTCCGGTGACTTTTTTCACAAAAAATATAACCCTGCTTTAAGTCGAGGTTTCTCAGCCTCCGTGCTATTAGCATTTTGAGTTCGATGATTCTTTCTGGAGGAGCTCCCTGATGAATTGTGAGATGTTTAGCAACATCCTTGACTTTTATCTATTTAACATCAGTAGCACCTCCCGGTTGTGACACTCAGAAATGTCTCCAGACATTGGGAAATGCCCATGTCCCCAGGGGCAGTTGAGAACTACTGCTCTAATAATACTCAGCATCTTCCTTTTTTTTTTTTTTGTACCAAAATATTGCATGTAGATATCTTTACGGGTTAGTATTTATAAGCACATTATGTTGTTAAGTGCTGTCAAGTCAAAACCAACTCGTAGTTGACCCTCCAGCAGGTTTTCAAAGGCAGTAAATCACACAGGGGAAATTGACCATCTTTTCCCCAAACCTCATGCCCCTGGGTTGGCAGCATACTCCTCACCCATGAGGCTACCAGAGCTCACTTATAAATAAATAAACCTCCCCCCCCCTTTTTTTTGTTTTGTTTTAAACACCAACCTGATATTTCTCTGAGTTACTGATACTTGCTCTATGTTTTTAAAGCATTTTTTGTCTTGGTATTTAACTTGGTTCCAACCTGTCACTCTCACAAATACTATTGCTTGAATGTTTAAGCCCAGCCACCTTTGTGGACTACTATAAATATTCCTGCAAGAAAAAAAGAACTTTGTAAATGTTCATTAAAATTATTAAAAAGAAAGAAAGAACTTGCCAGATAAATGTATATGCAATACAGCTTTTAGTCAGCAGAGCCTGACTGGCCTCCCAACAGGCTGTTGCAGTTGACATTCCCACAAGTGTAAATGTTTGCTTATTGTCTATTGTAAGGGTCACTTCTCACTAAACCAGTTGCCAACAAGTTCGTTCCGACTTGTCATAGCCCCCTCCTGTGTCAGAGTGGAACTGTGCTCTTTCGGGCTTTCATAAGAAGGACATCAGCAGGCCTTTAGTCCAAGGCAGCTTTGGCTGGACTCGAACCTTCAGCCTTTCACTTAGCAGTGAGAATGCATTTGTACCACCCAGTTACTCCTCACTGGCAAAACAAAACAAAAAGTCAAACCCTCTGCCACAGAGTGAATTCTGACCCATACCAACTCAGGGGAGTAGAACTGCGTCTTCATCCTCCTGCACCGGGGGGTAGGGGTCGGGGGTGGGGTGTCAAACAGCTGACCTTTCAGTTAACAGCTGAATACTTAACCACTGCACCACCTTTTCTTCACTTTGCAATTAAAAAAATTTCAAACTCTTGCTATTGAAGGAACCAGGCTGAAATCTGACCTCCTTGTGGCCACCAGTGTGTCTGGCATTTAAGAATAATTTTCCTAGAGACATTAGGGGAGCTCTGGTGGCCTAGTGGCAAGAAGCTGCACTGCAATCCCAGAGGCGCACAGTTCGAAGCCACCAGATGCTCTGCCGCGGAAGGAGGGACAATCTCTTCCTGTACCAGTCAGATCCAATTTGACGATACACACAAAAATAATAATTAAAAAATATATAAAAAAAGAATAATTTTCCTAGAGACAGACGAAGACCCCAAATCATGCCAGAAGTGACATCACGTGGGGATGCTTCCCGAGGGCCAGCTCCCTTCCCAGGACATTTTCCTGATGTAGATTTGCCTGACTAATTCTCTGGCTTATTGTTGCTAGCTTCCATAAAGTTGACTACAATTCACAGTGATCCTACAAAGAACCTTGGATTGCTAGGTGGCCTAGTGGCAAGTAGCTATACTACAATCTCGCTAAAGAACTCTAGGGAGCTCTGGTGGCCTAGTGGCAAGAAGCTACACTGCAGTCCTGAAGGTACACCTTTCGAGGCCACCAGTTGCTCTACAGGAGAAGGATGGGCAATCTCCTCCCATGCAATTAACTGCCTCTGAAAACCCGCTGGAGGGTCAGCTATGGGTCAACTTATACAGTACACAACAACAACAACTAAAGAACAGATCTATCCTGCACCATCCTCACAAGCTCAGATATGCTTAAACCCATCATTGCAGTCTCTGTGTCAGTCCACTTGGTGAGGGTCTTCCTCTCTTCCCGTGACCCTCCACCCCTCCCAGCATAAAGTCTTTTATCCAAGGCCTGGCGCCTCCTGACATCATGTCCAAAGCATATGAGGCAAAGTTTTACCATCCTTGCCTCTAAGGAGCACGTTGGTTGCACTTCCTCCAGGACAGATGGCATTGTTGTTTTGGCAGTCCGTGGGAGAGTCAGTACTCTTCTCCGACACTGCCCACCACCTACTGCCATTGAGGCAATTCCAATACACAGTGACCCTTTGGGAGAGAATTTAACCACCCCATAGAGTGTCCAAGGCTGTAATCTTTACACAGGCAGATGGCCTCATCTTTCAGCCAGAGAAGCTGGTGGATTTGAATTCATAGTTCAAACCTTTTGTTTAGCAGCCAAATGCCTTAACCACAACCCTACCAGAGCTCCTTTGTCAAACAGTATTCAGATATATTTTTATAGGGGTCTTCCAGTCTATGTAAGGGGTGAGTGCAGCCCCTCTCCTTCCAGGAGGAGGAGCACCGGGTGTGAGTGTGTGCTTCCTGTGAGGCTGCAGAAGGTCTCTTTGGGCTCCCCTCTGGGACCCACATTCACTGCATCCTCTCTGGCCCTGGACCTCTTGCTCTTTAGAGAGGAGCGTTTCCTGAGAAGCAGCAGGGCCGCAGGCAGCTGGCCAGGGCCAAGGAGTGGCAGGGCTGGGCACTTCCTCCTGTGAATCATGATGAGTTAGAATGGGGTGATCGAGCCACAGAGTTCTTTTCCCCAGAATCACTGGCCCCTTCTCTGGGTTCACTCTTCCCCTTCTGCCTCATTGGCTGGCCTTGGAGGTTTCCTGTCTCCAGAGGCTGTGCCTAAGGGAAGTTGTTATCATACAATGTCAGTACTTTTATTTGTGTAGTGATTTCCAGCCTGAGCAATCCTCGCACACATTACCTTATTTAATCTTCACTGTAACCTTGTGAATTAAGGGAAGGCAGGCGTTAGTAACACAGTCCAGCTCTATTAGTTCAGGCAGACAAGCTTTCCTGGCGTCTCTAAGTGGAAACTTCCCACTGCGTTTGGTGGCATGCTTTTTCTTCTCTGCCTTCCTCCCTCCCTTCCTCTCTCATTTCCTTCCTTCCTTCCTTTTTATTTTTTGTTCTTGTTGCTGTTAGATTTACCATTGTAAAGGTGACCATTGCACCCATTCAGTTCCTGCATTCCACTTACCTGAACTTGTTGTGAAAGGAACTGGATTCTGTTGCCTTTGAGAACAGAAAGCATTTCCATAGGTATTTACTCTCTTGCTAGCACTTCTTTGTCTTTGTTTTTCACTGTGGGGAAAGAAGAAAAATAATGAAGCATAAAACAGTTGTCAGGAACCAGAGGAATTTTTTTTATCAATGAGAAAACAAAAAATCTTACCACTGAACCTATAGACAACATCATGATAGATGGAGAAAAGATTGAAACTGGTAGCAACTTCATCTTACTTGGATCTACAATTGACACCCTTGGTACAAGCAGTCGGGAAATCAGGAGATACATTGCACTAGAAAACCAAATTCTTGAGCAATGATGTCAGTTTGAGGACTTAGGTGTGTCTGATTCAGGTGATAGTCTTTCTGACCACTTGCTATACAGCTGAGCGGTGGACAGTGAAACAGGATGGCAGAAGAATTGATACTTTAGAGCCGTGGTGTTGGAGAAGAGTACTGAACAATCCCATGGATGAGTAAAAACAAAAAAAAAATGTCTTGGAAAAAGTGTAACCATTGTGCTCCTTAAAGGCAAATATAATAAAGCTTCTCCTCACATACTTTGGACATGTTTCTAGGAGAAGCTCTTCCTTGGAGAGGGGCATGATGCTAGAAAAGGCAAAGGCTCAGCATTTGGGGTGCAAGAAGAATGATGGTTATCATGAAATCTTTACAAATCATCCTAAATACTCATTTGGGAGTCTGAATGACACCTTGTCTGTTCAGGCTGCTTTCTCTGAATGGTTTTTTCCTATGTAGGTCACCAGAGAAGACAAAGAACTTCACAGAAAGATCCGCTGTATCATTCAGGAAGACTGTCAGAAGCCAAATCGTAAGTGGTGATAACATATATGTTACTCTCTAGCATGTTGGGAGGGGACGGTCCCTCTCACTGGAGCTCTGGACAGAGAAGAGACCTGAGGTGTTTTCCCACGAGTGCCCGGGATTGGGGGTGATTAGTTAAGGTACTGGATCTACCTGAGCCTCACTCGTCCTCTCTTTGATAACTGGTGAGGTAGCACGTTGTCCTGACTTTGACTGCAAATGAGATTCAACCTCAGAGTCTTTGAAACATAGAAGTGCGAAGGTCCCGCCCTTGGGGCTTCTGGTCCATTAGGGGTGGGGTGAGTACAGTGCAGTGAGAGTGTTTGATGTCACTGTGGTTTTTATATTCTTTTTATCTGTTCTGTTTGCAGTTCATGCTCATATGCATTGTCTTTAAATTCAAGGCTGTTGTTAACCTCGCTTCTGAAATCAAAGTGTTCAATGTTGGGGAGAATGGATTAGAATTTAGAGTTTGTGAACGGTTTAATTTAGCCACTGGTGATTAATCTGGTGATTAGCGGTTTTAGTGGAATTATATCAACCCCTAGTGGTTACACACTCACACTGTAGCTCCCGTTGACAGGAACAATACTGTTTTCACGCTAGTCAGAAATAGCTTTCTGTGGGTTCACTCTGGTTCGACTCCCCACTGCAGAGAACTTGCCTTTCCATCCCAGAACTATTGAATCATAATCTGCATTTAAGAAAGATCTCGTTAGCCAGAAAAGAAAGCATTGATCTTGTCTTTCAATACCGGTATCAACTGGCCCGTCTTAAAGGTGACTTTCCAGACACTGCCTTTTGCAAACATGCGCTCATAATGAACATAGACCTGTGTCAACAAATAATGCTAGAAACAAGTGGGAAGAGTTTCGAGTGACTGCAGGTCTCCTGACCCTGGTTTGTTTCCCTTCAGAAAAGTCTACCTCCAGGCCCTTCGGCCCACTCATTCCTGGGGCCTGGGTTTGTTCCAGGCTTTATGAGCCAGTGGATCTGTGTGAGGCCTCCAGCCCTGACCTCCATGACACACAGCCCTATTTAGCCTTTAAAGCCAATGAGGTTGTAGGCCGGGGTGCTGTGACCACAGGTCTCAAAATAAACTTGAAGTAATCTGTTATTTCAATGCCAAAGATTTCTGGCTGTCATTTTGTTCATTCAGATCAATTTGAGCAAGTTCTCTTTGATCTGGGTCCAAACTATATGCCACAATTTTTTCCCCCTCAATATTTGATTGTGTTTTAGGGAAAAGTATACACAATTCCTTGACAGCGAATTGGGTATTTTTACCAAGTATCACCATTCTCAGTCTTCCCCCTGTATTCTGTTTTCACTGACCTAACTTCCCTGCATTTTTTGCTTTTTTAGCAAATGTTTACTGTTTGGTCTTTTTAAAAAAAATGTATCATTTGGTTTTATATAGTTGATTGTTTACAAATGCACATTCTTACAGGTGATACTGTTTATAGGCTAATCTCAATTCTATTGTGCATTTTTCTCCCACTCTACCAGGGACCTTCTGTTGTATCCCTGGTGAGCGTTGTCAGTAATGGTAACTGGGCATCTTCTGGTCTCAGATTAGAAGGGACTGTGGTTCATGTGGACATCTACTGCAATTTAAGATGCATTTAAACCTTACATGCATAGGCTTCCTCAACTAAGAAAGGATGAGAGAAATGTGAAATGTGGGCTCCCTCCACCAAGAATGGGTGACAGGAAATTGAGATAACAGTGGTGTTTCCTTGATCTCTATTGGGAATTGAAAGGTGTACGCTTTACTATCAATGCAGAAGGAGGCAGTTTTAAGGAGATTCTGCATATGCCTTTTATTCTATTATTATTATTCGGCTAAGTTCTGAAATTTGTCTAAAGTGCAATGGCATGTTATACACAAAGAAAGGATTCACAATGAAGATGCCTTTTTATCGTCAGTTTTTTATTCAGAACATGTTCCAACCTACTGAAAAATTAAAAAAACTAGTACAATAAATACCCACATTCCTTTCTCCTGGATTCACTAAGAACTTCAGCCTATGGCTTCTTAAAAACAGAGAGAAACCTTTTTTTCTTTTACACCTGAGAAAATTTTATTTGATGGCTTCTGATACGGCAGCATTCAGTAGATGATGGTTTTCTTGTTGGTTTTTTTTTGTTTGGTTTTTTGTTTGTTTTTGTTGTTTTGTTTTTTTTAGGTGATCGTTTTAACTGTTAGCTTTGGTAGCTTTTCAAAAATATTCATCCTGTGCCTCACACAGAGCAGTTACTTTTTGTGGACGCTGAGTATCATATGATGCAGCTCACTTTGAAGTGTTTATTAAATTATTATAATCCTTCTGAGATACCAGTAAACATTTTCCTGACCTTTCATAGATGTAAAAAAAGGTAATCAAGGGCTAAAAACCCACTGGATATAAAAGTCACTAATTAGAATTCTTTGGAGGTTGAGGATCTGAATATTGGCTGATGTGACTTGTACAGTGGGATTAAGAATATATGTTTTTGGCTTGTTTTATTTTGGTTGTCTTTGCTGATAAAACCAGGGCTAGTATGTGTCACTTTTGGTGTGCACAGGAATCAGAAATTTATTCCAGAGGCATTGGAAGGGCCTGAGAGTCTGGAAGGGCCTGAGAGTCACAGACTCCCATGTGATACTGAGGCTGCCAGGCTTCAGCCCGCACTTTGAACTGAAAGGATCCAATAATGCTTCCACTTAGAGAGGGAGGACAGAGAGGAGGGCTGACACAGGAATGCCCCAGTTTGGCCACCTGCCTCTTTTCCTGCAGACGTTGAGAAGGGCTGCCACTTCCTGCACATCTTGTCCTGTGCCCGCCTGAGCATCAGCCCAAACCTGAGCGAAGCTGTGGTGCGGCAGGTGCTGGAATTCCTGGAGGACCAGAGTGACATCGTCAGCACCATGGAGCACTATTACATGGCATTCTGAGCAGAAGTCTGGGGCCCCCAGGACCTGCCTGGAGAACGAGAGAGGTGGCTAACTCCCAGGCTTCTATTTTAGACCTCACGCAGGCCTGGAGACAGTTACCTCATGATCCAGTGTAGTTACAAGGCAATGGGATGTGGCATAAATGCTGTCGGCTGCCCTGTCTGCTGTATCCCCGGGATAACATGACTCTTTTCTCAGCTTTGACGTATGAAAACCCTCCTTGTTGACGTGGCCGGACTTGCATCTCTGCTGGACCAGAAGGAAGAGGAAAACCCTGAGTCAGTGTGTTTGTGATTTGAAGTTCCTTTCTGTAAAGACACGGTGAAGGCAACTGTCCTATAGAAACAGGTGCATAAAGTAGGATCCCACAGTTCCAAAGCTTTTGCAACTTCAGATACATTTTTATGGATCTCCCTCGGTGTCTAAGCACCAAGTTTATGGGTGTAATTTCCCTGGATATGTGTCACTTGCCTCCCACGGCGGTGGGCTCAGCACCAGAGCCTTGAGTCCTGGTTTAGTGCTGTGAGGAAAAAATAAAAAGTATCTATTGTGTTTGTGGCTCTGTCATTCTCATTTTCTTTGAAATAAAAAGGTTTTTCAGTACAGGCCCCTACATTTAAAAAGAAGCATGATTAATGACATTGTTCTTTTACACCCCTGAAGATGGAGGAGGCAGTCAACCAGGGAGTGGGTAGATGTTTTGTTCAAGGTTGGCTTTGAGTATACAGGAAGTGCTGGCTGCTTCTAACAAAGACTCAGTATGTGTCCAGACAGGTGACAGAGTCATGCTTTTTGCTTAGGGTGGAGGCATAAAAGGAAAACAATCCAACCCACATACTGGGCTTGTCCTAACAGCAAAAGGCCAAATCCAGCTGACAAAAAGAAATTTAAAAGATCTGGACTTAATTAGAGTCCTTTTGCAGAAGGCTCATCTGCCTTCATCTGCTGCCACCTAGCTGTGGGTGGCATTTGCTCTGGATGCCATTAAGTTCTTAATGGCTCCGCAGGAGATCAGCCTGGAAGATTTGTGTGGTGTATGGAAAGAACCATTTCTGGGCCCAGAAATCAGTTCCTGCAGAATACACGAGGTTTATGTAGGCAAAGATCTGCCTTCCATGGTTTGGGTCGGAGGGCAGCAGGTAGAAGCATTCCGACAAGCAGCTCCATCTCCACTCAGCCTGAGAATTGTGGGTTTTCCTTTTAGCTCTCTTCTGAAGGTGAGTCTTGTTTGGGATTTTGTATAGTCGATATAAACTCAATGTGACTGCAGAGTTACAGAGCAGAACTGTTTGGTGGTTTTCTTGAGTAATCTTTATGAAAGCAGATCACCTGCCCTTTCTCCCCCAGGGTTCAAACCACCACCTGTTATGTTTAGCACCATACAGCTTGACCATGTGCACTCCAGGCTCCCTCATGTGATCCTTAAGAGGGCTCATTCCTCTTAATGTAATGTTGCGTCTCCATAACACCAAACCCAGTTTCTTGCTGTGGAGTGGATCCGAACTCATAAAGACCCCACAGAACCTAGTAGAACTGCCCTCATGTGGTTTCCAAGTCTGTCTCTTTTTTTTTTTTTTTTTTAAATTGTATTTTGTTGTTGCTAAGAATAAACTCAGAGAGCCCTGGTGGCTTAGTGGTAAGGAATTTCATTGCCACCACAAAGTTATGTAGTTCGAATCCACCAGTTGTTTGGGGGAAGAAATAGGAGTAATCTCCCATGTGATTTACTGCAAACTCACTAGAAGCTCAACCATGGCAAGTCTGTCATTTTTATAGGACCAGACTGCCACCTCTCCCCCCATCCCCTTAGCAGCTAAGATACCAGGACATACTTCAAAGATGTGACAGCAACTGTTTGCTGTGGTCTCCGCCCCTTCCCCTTCCTAAAACTGAATAGGGGGCTAAGACTGACTCGTGTGACTCTGCAGATCTGTGTCCCCCTTTCACCACGATCGTCCCTGTCTTCCCATCCTTTGCACCCTGGGAAATAAACTCCGTGTCCTTGACGCCCGGAAATACTTTGCTCAGCAGCAAAATAAAGGTATTAGTCGTCTCATCTGGTTCAACCCTGACTCGGGGTTCTGCCACAGGAAGGAGAGGAAAAGCGACTTGGAGAGTCAGATCTTGGACAAATTGGGGTTCCCAGGATGGCTCCAGGGACCACGTGAATACGGCTGCAAATAAACCCCGGGTCTGACCGAGAAGCCACTGCGCAGCCGCGTCGTGTGGGCGCGTCCGGGGTGGGCGGGGGCAAGGTACTGGTGGGCGTGGTCACGAGGTGGGGCAGGACTCTAGGGTCTCGCGATCTTTCGGATCCAGCGGGAAGTCGGAAGACCAAAGGGATGTCACCTGGTCACTTGGTGGATTTGGGACCCACAGCAGCAGTGTTTGCCACCCATTTTGCACTTCCTTTTTGCTTCCTTGGCTCATCTCCATAGAACGAGAAGTTGCAAGGACACGGCGCCGGTGACCCACCTCAGTCCCACCTGCACGTTTAGTTAAGACTAAGGCCCTGTTTTTCCCAGGGCCATGACCGTTATAAAGGCCCCAGGATATGTCTGTCTGGGCATGTGTCCCAAAGATAAAAAGTTAGGGGTTAGTCATTTCGAAGTTCCGTGAAAGAAATTCTTGTGTACAGGAAATGTCAATAATGGGGGCTTATCTGATGCTTGCAAACATTTTCCCTCCACCCAGTGGTGAATTTGATAGGTCCCTGGCTGGGGTTGTCTCTTAGTTTTGGAGGCTCACCCAGCACAGCTTCGTGACCATGTCAGCTTTGCCCAAGATAAATGCTTCTAATTTTGTTTAATCTCTCATCCAGACCCTCAATGGGAGTGATGCGTCAGCCTGGATGCCACAGCCCAGCCCCCTCCCAATTCAAGCCAAACGCCCCTACTTCCCCAGGCCAACCACCTCCCCACTACCCCACCCCATCCCTCAACTTCACCCAGATGCAGCCTGAGTTCCCTCCCTTCTAGGAGGATTTGGATCCTGTGTTTCTAGCATTTGCAAAAACTGTCAGAGAACCTGGACTTGAAGGAGTTCCAGCGGGGGCCAGGATATACCTGCACAGCTGCCCCTTGCAGCCCCTACACCGCTACCTCCAGGAAAGCAGGGCTGGGGGGCTTTCAGGAACCCCCTACCCTGCCTTAGGCTTCGGAAAGGAGCTAAGAATAACCTAACCAGGAGCCATCAGACCGGTTCAGGCTGAAAGGACTTGATAGGACAGAGTAGG